CCGTGGGCAAGCCCTGTTATTCCCGTTGCTTATGTCCAAGGGACAGGCCGCTTTTGGTCACCTATCATTGTCTGTTGTCTCCCGCAAATGGGTTTTAGGGGGCACAGAAAAGGGTGCCGTACCCTGGTATTTGAAATGCTCAGCGCCCAAGTTACACAGAAGGATGGCTCTGAAACTGGACGTCAAAGACCAGGCGAGTCTGGCCGGGACGCGGTCGATCTCCGCCTTTGGTTCGGGAGTATTGCTAGGTAAAGTGGTCTCGTGGCGGACTTGATCATTACTGGAGTAGCGACGATGTCTTGGCATTAACCTAGGTAGGTGATTAACACTGTATTCTACGTGCTTCTGTTAGCTTGCTACATAACGGTTATGACGTGTAAGCGCTGGCTTGGAGTGTGGTGGGCATATCACGCGAGTATTGCAAATGCTCTGGGGCAATACGTCCTGGACGGCAGCGTAAAACCATAGAGAGTTGCACGGCTGATGTACATGTCAATTGTGAGTCATAGGGTGTGAACTGTGAGTAATGGGATGGTAGTCCGGCCTGATGAATCCTGTCAATGCTCAGAGGCTTGATAGAGAGGAATCTCCGGGCAATTGCCATAAGTCAGAAAACAGCATCTGCCTGGAACTGGCACTTTTATCCTTTTTATTCATGAAGTCTCTGGTTAGCGATATATACGCCTTTAAAACACAGGAGTTTGCGGCAGATTCGGGCCTCTTGACAACAAGATCTTGCTGGGCGTGACTGTCTTTGGGCTTTGTGAATTGGAGTGCTACTGGTTTTCTTGCTGCTAAGTCGTTCCCCTTCCAATTGCCTTTGCAATAGGTTGTCTGCTGCGTATTCACGATGTATATGTGGCGGATGTAGACGACTGAGAGGGACGAAGATTTGTTCGTATAAACTTCTTCCGGCCAGCCTTGTAAGGGAGCACTTGATCTTGACTCTGAGGCTCTTCTATAAAGCTCAGCTTCTAGCGACAGGCGGAGTGGATTGCTTGGGTCTGTTAAGACTAGCATGATACCTACATAGACCGATATGTACGAAAACTGCGTTGGTATTGTTGCTGTTCCTTTCGCAGGATGAATGAGACCTTGGCTTGGCTACGGGACTTATGGTGAATAGTTGTAAATAGGGCTAGGGATGCCATTGACGCCGGGTACATTGCTTTCAGGAGAACAGATAATCAAGTCTTGCCTTTTGAATTCGATTCTGCAAAGACAGAATTTAGACATGTGAGATTGTTGTTTGTGTCTGAGAAGGGCTTATAGCTACTGTTGTGGTCAAGGGGCGTTCTCTTAGGTCTTCCGCTTCGTACCTATTAGTCTCTTCAGGTATATCAGGGTTATAATTCCTGGGAAAAGGGGAACAGGTCTTCTATGGAATTTCTTTCAATTGTATAGTAGCATCTAAAAAGTCCTTTAATACAAGGGGATGGGGGAAGAAGGAAGGGGATTTGGCTACAACGTCACAACAACCCAGACCCATCTGTCTGGGTCAGCAAGATACTCAATGCTTCCGCATGTCTCGTTCGGTTAATGACACATTTACAAAGCTCTCGAAGAACAGTAATTGCCAGAAGAAGTCTTCTTGTACCGATCATCAATGCCGGTTAAGTTGAATCACAGAGGCAGTAGGTGACAGCAAAGACAAACAGACCTTCCTGCATCACCCTGCGACGTTCTGATCTGATGTGTAAATTCGCCAGAATACTCCTTAATTTAGTTTTATGTGAGTCAACAGGAAATTACTCAGACTTTATATAGGTAGGCGTCTGTGGTACAGAAGAAACCTGCATGTTGGCAGTCTGATTCGGCAGGGCGTCTTCATTTCGTTTAACATGCACCGGAGGCCAAGTCAGGAGATGAGAGACTTGTAATTTTTGTTTCGTTACTTCTCTACCTACAGCTTCCAAGTGTTGTTAATGTGCTTGAGTTGAGTTCCAATTCATTACGTGTGAGACATCGACACTGGTTTCCCTATAGAATTATCCGATATCATCCTTTCATATGTCTTCTTTTAGCAATGATACTCGCGTCTGCACGTTGCTTGCCCACATATTTCTGTGATGACCATGAGGCTTAGAAATGTCTCGTGTTCAAATTTACGGAGAGCCTCAAGTAATCATCCGCTTGTTCGTATCGGTTATTGGCGGGGTGTTCGCGTTCCAATACCTTAGACAATGAGGAATAACGATGGGGCTCTGGCATCAGATACATAGCCAATTGGCTTCTCTATCACGGCATAATGTTCATTCTGAACCTTGGTAGCATATTCATAGGACTAGAGACCTTCGCTTTCATCGTGTCGATTCCGTGGTCTTCTCATCTCGTGATCTTTTTCATGTCGGCCAGGCCAGACGAAGGCTCTTCGGTATTGTTAGCTTCGCAGTCGTACGAAGCGTCTCTCAGAGGAGACTGATGTTAAATGGTTCTGCCTTCCAAATGTTCTTCTCATCAATTACAAAGTCCACGAGTCGGACTTCAAATATCATAACTGGGCAGGTAAGTGACCCACGCTATCGAGCAGACAACGCACTCCCACAAGTCTTAGCATTACATACCACAACGTTTCGACATCGCCATGAACCTCAGAAACAACGGTCTCTCCAAAAACTCAGGGTCCCTCCCTGCAACGCATCACCCTCCCGTCAAGTGACCACCTGCTGGCCCCAACCCAACCCAACTAAGGTAGCGTATTTTAGGCTCTATCCAACCGACTTCTTCTGTTTGGTTTCTCTTTTTTAGCACGCTTGGTTCTGCCATGCGCATTATTCATGGGCCTGCATCAGCGTCGTCGCAATTTTTTAGCAGGTGGTCGGATGCGACGATGCTGCGGGACCACACACTCACCGGATCGGCGCGCTTCCGGGGCGGGTTTCGTGTTGGTGGATTTGGTTCGGCGACTGCGGCGGCAAGGGGGGCATGGAGGAAACAGCACGGGGATTGTTGGGTTTGAACGTGAGGAGTAAATGTGACGAACGTCCTTCATGTTGGGACTTTTTGTGCCTGGTTGCGCAGTATTTTTATCGACGCGACGGTCATTTGCACTTGATGGATACAAGACATTTGCAAACACTTGAGCGCTTCGGATCCCGTTGATGACTTTTAGGTCGTCTGTGAGCTGCGGATCGATTACTTCGCGCAATTGCTGTGTTACGTTCTTGTCGCGACAGGGTGAGGAAGGATTGGACGACGTTGACCTGGGCGACTTTGACGGGCAGTGCTCTCCCTCAAACTGAGATGGCGGCCCTTCTTTCGACATCTGCCTTGAGACGGAGGCTGCAGAAGGCTTTTGGCGGAGAGAGCTCCGGCAGGCGGTTGCGGAGATGGGGCGGCCAGGCCGAGGGACCGGCGAAGCAGATAAAAGTGAGCGCGCTGCTCAGATGGGAAGAGCTCCGTAAGTTTGTTGCTTGAACACGATACTTGGACGTAAAGTTGCTGACGAGTTCTCTAGCGGAATGGCAGCAGTGAGTTCATGATGAGTCTTTCTCATTCCTTCAAGCGGCAGCTAACGACGTATGAGATGTGGGAGCGAGCACATCAAGACGGGTTATCGGTGAGTTGGCGTGTGTATCATGAACGCAGCTTGGAACAATGCTAATCATCCACTTTAGAAAAGCATGCTTCTCAGTCTGGGAGTGCTTTCATAGTTGGACATATGTTCACAATGAAACAAGTAAGAAAATCCAGGGATCAACGAAAAGTGACAACTTTGAGACTAAATCAACGGACAGTCAACATCTACTCACACATAATCGGGGCGATCCTCTTCATGTCCCTTCCATTCCTCATCTTCGGCAACCCCATTTCCCCGAGATGGACAACCGCCTCCACCTCAGACATCGTGGTCTGCAGCATCTACGCAGCAGGTGTTACAGTCTGTTTTGTTCTCTCAACTGCGTACGTAGTAACCTCTCAGTGACTGGTTTACATGACCACCTGACAATCAACCACACATCACTAACGCCAACACATCTCCCTTCCAGCTTCCATACCTTCATGTCTCACAGCGAACCCTACTACCTCGCCGGCATAAAAGCAGACTTCCACGGCGTACTGGCCCTCATGTGGAGCTCCACGGCGCCGCTGGCACACTACACCTTCCCCTGCTCGCCGCGCACCCGCGACGCCTACGTCCTGCTGACGGGCGCGCTCGCCGCTCTGTGCGCCGCGGCGACGACGAGGCCCAACCTGGGCGCCGTGCATCTGGGTCACCACCGCGCCGCACTGTTCGCCACGTTTGGCGCTGCGGCGTTTGTGTTGCCGATCGGGCATGGTGCTTTGGTGTTCGGGGCTGGTGAGGAGTGGGCGCGGGCTGGGGGCCCATGGATACTGGCGACGGCTGGGTGTAATGCGTTGGCGGTCTTGGTATACTGGGCCAAGGTAAGATTCTGTTTCCTGTACCTGATGAAGTGAGCGTGGTCGCTGATCAAGGCAGTTTCCCGAGTTGTGGTTCCCGAGGACGTTTGATCTGTTTGGGGCCAGTCATCAGATTATGCATATAATGGTCAGCCTTGGATGTGAAAGGGGTATGAAAAATTTGGAGGAGAAAGATGCTAATTGCTTCCAGGTTCTTGCCGCAGCGCTCGCGTACGCGAAGGCTGTCGTCGTGGCTTTTGACTATAGACATGAACAGGGGCTGGTGTGTTGATGTTGAGGCGGACCAGGATCTCTTTCGTCGCTTTCACAGAGGGACGCTGGTAGAGGAAGACGAGCTTGGAAAAGATGCCACGTGGGAAAGAAGCCGTTGAATCGGTTTAAACACATTGATTCACCAGTCAGATTCAGTCCATATCCTCTTCAAACTGATGTATCATGCGGCAGACATTAACAGGCTTCTTCGAAATGTACTAGGAGTGGCGGGCGCGCGTAGAAAAGAGGTAATGAGCTTGGTAGAGTGGTTCTCATTCAAGCTAAGAAGTTAACCAACTGATCAGAAATAAACAATGTGTAATACGCCTAGACGATTATCGAACACATCCATCTATGGCAATAGCTCACTCCTCTCCAACCTTGACAACAACCTTCCCCCTAGCCCTCCCACTCTCGACAACATCATATCCCTTCACAGCCTCCTCCATCGCAAACTCCTTATCGAAAACAGCCTTCACCCTCCCATCCGCCAACATACCCACAACTTCCTCCATCAACGTCCTCCCAGGATCCATCATCGTCGTCCCCTTCCAAACCCTTCCCGCGCCCCCAAGCCACCCCGCCAAAGGCCATACAGCATTCATCTGCATCGTCCACACAGCCTTGAAAAAGCTCCCCCACGTCTGAGCCGCTGGCTTGATCCCGACCGCCGCATACACGCCCCCGGGCACCACATACGCCGCGCAGGAAGCGTACACATCCTGCACCCCAATACAATCGACAACCCCGTCAAACCTCTTCTCCCCGCCGAACCTCTTCCTCAACACATCAGAAACCCTGCCGGCGGTGTAGTCCACAACCTCATCCGCCCCCAACCCCCTGACCATCTCGGCATTCCTCCTCGAACACACCGCAACCACAACACCCTCCGGCCCGACCGCGTCTCTCGCCATCTGCACCGCCAGACTCCCCACCCCGCCGCTGGCCCCGTTGACCAGCACCCTGCCGCCCCTCTTCAGCCCCGCGGCCCGGACCGTAGTGAGCGCCGTGCACCCAGCCGTCAACACGCTCCCGGCGCCCTTCAACCCCACGCCCCGCGGCACGGCGATCGCGTACTTGGCCGGCAGGACGACGTGCTCCGCCAGCGCGCCCGTCCCCGTGGCCCAGCCGAAAGAGACGGGGATGAAGGCAGCGACGCGGTCTCCCTTGCGAAACCTCGCTCCCGTCGCAGACGAAGAAGCAGAAGGGGTCCAGACATCGGCCACGACGCCGCTCAGATCCATCTCCGGCACGGCGGTTTTCGCCCTCGCGGCCGCGGGGATCATGCTCACGAAGAACTGCCCGCCTGGGTTGAGAGCCGCGTAGGCTACCTTGACCAGGAGCCACTCGGTGCTGTCTTTGGACTTTGAGACGACGGCGGCTGCGGGCGGGAGCGTTGGGACCGGGCGCGATGTCAGAGAGAGGACGGAGCGGGGCGCGCCGCGGGCTGTGAAAGTCCAGGCGCGGGAGGTTGCCATGGCTGAGCTTTTTGTTGGTTGTTGTGGTGTTTTGAGGGATGGTGTAAGTCGAAGTTGTGTCTGATAATATTGGTTGCCTTGGTGTCGTTCGTTCAGCAGCTCAGTTTGTTGTGTGTGGAGCTGCACTCATCTATGGTAAAGAAAATACCGGATTAAAATATCTTATTATTCTCAAATTCAAATCGTTTGTCTAGAAACAGCTCATCTTATAAGTTTTCCATCCTGCGAGTACCATAACCCTTGCTCATGAAGATGGACGTAAGCCGGCCCCAGCATAACGCTCAAGCATGACTTCCCGCCAAGCCCGTGGCTTACACCATCACCCAACAGGAATCGCGTACCCACGCCACCATTGAAGACAGTAAATCTGTCCCGATCAGCCTTACTTGTGTAATATGACGGTGCCCTGCGTGGGGCTAATCGGAATGTCGCGGATCACAGCTCGTTACGCTACACAGCATCTCGCCAATTTGTCTCGGTTATTAGTGACTTCCGGACAGCGATGCAGCCTTGCGTTACGGATGGGTTAGCACGGATATCTTTTCAGTGGCTCATGGATTTCTCACGAAGCAGCACGAATAGTTCCCGGATAACTCGAGTTCCTGATCGTTGAGTAATGCTTTGTCCTAGTTCCTGCTACTCCATGTTCACTAACGCCAGAAGGTATTCAGCCCGGCTAAAAGATCCCCCGCTTACAACACGCGGGCTTCCTTGCTTTCCTCGCGTAGACTTCTAAGCGACGCTTGGAACTCCTTGTTCACCCACTCCCAGTAAGCATTCCACACCTGGCTTCCGCCTCCAGCGTTGGCGTTGGCCACAGCATTGCCTGAGCCCGCCTTGTTGTTCTTGTGCCTGTCTCCGAGCAGGAGTGTCACACGCAGGACGCTCTTGTTGGCCTCCTCTTGCTTCTCCACGTCCTGCTTGACGGCACCATCCTTCAACTTGGTCGACAGGATTGCCCGGTATGCCTCGGCAATTGTATCGAGGCGACGAGCCGTCTCATCAGGGTCAAGCACGATGAGCTTGGAAACCATCAGGTTGCACAGACTGCGAATGTCATTGTCGTCCTTAAGACCAGCGACAACACGGTCGTAGAAGTCAATGTTGTTGATCCGTGAGAATGCCGTCTCCATGAGAGCGTACAACGTCTCGTAGGCACTCTGCACAGCGAGTTAGCGTGGTCCCATGAGAAGCACGAAGTACTTACCTTGCGGACTTCCAGGCCATCATCCACCATATGTTTGAAGGGACCCATCATCACCTCACGAATCAAATGCGGCTTGATGACCGACTCGGACAAGACATACGGCATCAGCTCGCCCAAGTGGGGCAGAATAAGATCGGGCTTGTTGTGGGCTGCCGAGTTCAACGTCGACATGGCCAAGCGACGGTTGTCCATCTCCGTGTCTTGAAGCATGACGAGAAGCATGTCAACGAGGACGTTCTTGAGCATAGCATCGAAAGCGTCGTCACTGTCAGGCAGCGTGTATCGAACAGCCTGCACGGCCATGCCACGGATGTCGGGGTTCTGATCTCTGAGGAGGGACTACAAGCTGTTAGCAGATTGCTACAAGAGGTGACCTTGAGCACTTACCTGGAGCTGGGGCATGAATGTCTGGGTATCAATAATGGTCAAGCGGCCAACACACTCCGCGCAGACGACGCGGTTGTCGGGGATAGTAGACGCCGAAAGCAGATGCTGCCAAATTGGCGCGGCGAACTTGGAAACCTCGGCGGACAGAACGGTGACTTGCTGCAAGATCTCCTTGATCGATTGAATCAGCAAGTACTGCGTGTTGCCACCCTTCTGCATGGTGTCCAAGATGATCGGGAGGTACTGGGACACATTGCCCGAACCAGCACGGCCCAGAGCTACCGCGGCGGAAATAGAGACCTTGTCGGGCTCTTCATGGAACTGCTTTAGGAACAGATCCGGCTTGAGAGGAGAGTTGGGTCCTAGTCGCAGACCGGCTTCACCAAGCACTGCCAAGGCAAGACTGATTCTAGCGTCATCCCTCTTCTGCGTGCTGCTCTGAAGCTCGGAAATGAAGCTATCAATCGTGACACCAGCCGAGCTTCCGCTGGCTACTAGAAGAGCACCAATGACCTTGCCAACAACGACCGGGTCTCCTTCGATACTAACTTCTTTGAGAATACCCTGCATGAGACCTTGGCCAGAGCCACTCTCACCAACCTTGGTGACGAGGATCAAGATTTGATCCAGAACGATGCTTGCGTAACTCGACTTGAGAAGAGTGCAGATAGTCGCGACCATGGATTGGTTCACAACAAGGCCTGCGTTCTCCTCGACCAGAGTTGCGAGAATAAGCAGTGCCGGGGCCAGGAGGTGGGTGTCGTGATTGCTGATTACAGGAACCAAAGCCGAGACCAGGCCCTGGATCGTGTTTGCATCAAGCTGCCCCTTAGACGTGGGAGACACGATCAAGTGCTTCAGAGCCTGGATGCTAGAGCCGCGCAAAGATCGGTTCGCCTTGCGCAGTTGGCCGGCGAGCTCCAGAGCCACCTCGCGAATCCAAGCCGTCTCGAGTTGCCCGCTGCTGGTGCTAAAGGCGGCGACGTTATCGACGGCTCTGACGGCGGCAAGTCGAGTGGTCTCATTCTTGAGACGATCGAGCAGAGCGGCGAGGGCGGCTTGGCGCTTGTCGGCAGCAATCAAACCAGCACCATCTGCGCCAGACGTTCTCGACAAGAGGACGCCCAAAGCGTGAATACCCCGTTGCTTGACCTCGGCATCGGCATCAGTAGCGGTAATGCGATCCATGATCGTGTCGAAAAGCTTTTGCAGCTCGCCCTTGAACTTCTGCGCCGTCATCTTGGAACGAGGGGGTGTAATTGCCTTGACCAGCTCTTCAATCGTGCCAATGGCTTCGCTGGAAATCTTGTAAAAGCGGTCATTGGCGGCCGCCACCACACCAGCAACGATCTTGGTCAGGTAAGGCTGGAGTAGGCTTGAAGAGTGAGTCTTGGCAATGTCACTGGTAAGCTTCAGGGCCGCAACACGTAGTGTGCTGGGAGTGGCAGACGCGTTACCACCAGAAGCGGCCAAGGAGGAAGCGAGAGCAGAGGCTCCAGTAGGCTTGATCGACTCGATGATGGGGCCAATGGCATCGTTGAAGTAGTCAGACAGACCTCCGCGCTGCACCGTAATGATGTCGTCAAGGAGGTTAATGATGGCCTGCTTAGTGGGAATAACCTTGCCCTTGAGCAACTTTGTGGACGCCTTTACAATCGTAGGGGTGAAGCGAGCCAAGTCGGCGCGAGGGCCGGTCGAAGGAATTCGCTCGAGAGTGGGTGATGTGAGACCTGTCGCAACATGAGCAGCCATGGAACCACCGCCGCTGCTCTGGCGCCTACGCTTCCGGCTGACAGGGATCAGGCTCGGGGCCTCTTGCTCTTGGTCGTCGAGTGACAAATCGGTGGGATAAATGCCCTCGCCTGTCTTGCGAACGAGGAGGGACAGACAGGAGATGACCTCCAGACGAACATTCTCTTCTCTCTCGTCGAATCTCTTGACGAGAGTAGGGCCGGCCTGGCTGTAAAGGACGCCATTCTCGAGCAAATCGCCGCTTCCGCGGGTCGAGATGAGAGTGTACAGAGCCTTTGCGGCGCAGCGACGGACCTTCCAGCTCGCGTCGTCATCGTCATCGAAGCCAGCATCGTCATCAAACTCATCATCGGCATCTTCCTCTTCCTCCTCCTCATCGACCTCCATATCCTCGTCGTCGTCCATCTGAGCGTTGTTGGGGTCGTACTTGAGGTATCGGAGACACGCCTTGATAGTGTCTTCGGTAAAGGGGCGCATTTCTGTTGGGCATGCTGCGAGGAAAGCCTCCAGTGCCACCAAAGCAGACTCGCGAACTTCGTTAAAGTCCAGACCGACGTCGTCTCCGTCGCTAATCTCCTCCAAGTGCTGCTCCAGCTCGCCTTCGCTAAGAGCTTGCATGATGAAAGGCACAAGGGTGCTCAGATATGTGCCGAATCGTGCGGGGATCGATCTCGCCATGGAGCCGGTAATGGAGATGTAGAGACGGCGCGTAACCGCGGGGATATCACGCTTGCCTAGGTTGTTAGCCATGCGCGTGACCATCTGGTTGAGCAGGTCGTCCGACAGGTGGACCGCCAGGATAGAAATCGCCACGACAGCCCTCTTCTTAACGACGGAAGATGTCTTGTCGTTCTCCAGCAAGCTGATGACCGCGTCCTGCATCGCCTCAACCTCAAGCGGGGAGAGCATCACTCCAAAACACCTGACGACCTCGATAAGAATGTCGACCGATTCCGCGCTAAGGTTCTTGTCGACCTTCAATAGGCCCGGCGGCACAGGCGGGAGCTGAATGTTGTTAGAGCCAGACTGCGCCTGGACCTTGCCTCCGGGACCCAGCAAACGCGGGATCAGCACCCGGCTCACGGCGACGTAGGACTCCTGGACCTCTTTGGACGGGGGCAGGCCGGGTGTGGGTTTCGGCAGCGCCATGATGACGGCGCGCAGCGCGAGGGACGGGACGGCGTTGTCGACGGAGTTCTTAAGCTTTATCGCCGAAAGCTTCTCGATCATGGGCGCGATGATCGGGGTCGGTACTTTTGTGACGAGGGGGCCGAGGCTGTTGGTTGCCCATCTGTTAGCGATTGCTTCTTGAGGTTCAGAAGGGGGCAGGAGGGGTCCACGTACCACTTGATTGCCAAGTTTTGCACCTCTCCATTCTGGTCGTCCAGGGTCTTGATGATACTGTCGACTGTGCGCGCGGCTACATTATAGTCATGGTGGAGGAAGTCGGGCTTTCCGTTTGCGAGGACCTGGAGCAGATCGTTGAGAGACATGAAGCGGAAGTCCGGGTCAGCGTCGCCGAGCTTCTGGACGAGACCAATCACGGTCTGAGGCGTCGGGTTCGCGGGCACGCTCGATGAAGCCATCTTGACGGGTTGATTGATGCTTTGATCGGGGGAAGAATGGGTTAAGGAAGACGGAGAGGTTGAGAGGCGGCAGATGGCGTGTTAGCGGGAAGCGGTGGCTCTGACCATGCAGAGAGTAGGGAAAGAGTGACCGGCCCGCGTAGTCTGCAATAGGTTGGGAATAGACTGGAAGATGATGCCGTAGAGAGATTGGTTTGTTGTGTTTTGTGATAAACGACAACAAGAGACCCTCGTGAAGAGAGGTAGGTTGTTGGTGGGGTTTGCAGCTCTAGGCAGGAAGGCGTTGTCGGGGACCTAAGAGGTGCTGCTCCCAGGACGTTCCAGGTCTTGCCCCGCGAAAGTGGACCCCCACTCTTTGTGACTGCCCGCAATTGCCTCCACTCAGCGGCCGTGCGAGGGGATAGGTGCTTTCCAGGTTCAATTCGAGATCCTCGGACTAAAGCTAAATCCATTGCCGAGATTACATAAGTCCAGAGAGCCAGAACATCGCATTCCATCGGGAAACAGTCCGTGCAGGCCCAGCAATGTCGTCACCACAGAAGCTGTGGAGAGCCATTCACCCCGGCACGCTGGAACCATCCAGCTCTTTCGCCAGCCAATGGAGGGCCTTTGCTGCTACAGGCCCCCGTAGAAGCTCGTTCCCACCCCCAGCTGTTGGCGCCAGTGCTTTTGGCTGCTCTGCAGCTCGCAGCTCCGAGCTCTAAACTTCGGACGGCAGCCGGGCAGCCTGTGAAGCGGGAAACACTTCCGTTTGTAGCACAGCAAGTACCTTTGCCGAATCACCCCTTGGATTCTTGGTGTTTCTTTTTTTTCCTAAGCCACCCGAGATCCTTTTTTTTCTCTCCTTCCCTCTCCCCGGTACTGCACGAAAAAGCCACGTCTGAAGAGAAAAACGACTCAATCGGGTTGCCCAAAAGTTCCTCTGTACTATACTGTGTCTTTATATTAATTTTGTCATTCAATTATAAGAAAACCAAAAAAAAAAAAAGGCCGACAATGTCGTTCTCCAGAGCCGCTTCCCTCCGTTCCGCCCTCCGACTTTCGGCGCGCCGGACGATCCGTCCTCAGCTCCGCCCTCAGTTCGCGCAGAGGACCTACGCGAGCCAGCATGGCGCCGCGAAGCCCCAGAGCGAGCTTCCTCTGTAAGCATTTCCATTCTTCCATGCCCAATTGGCCCAATTGGAGTTCAGACGGGCTCCCTACCGCTTGGCAACTCCAATGCTCATGCCTCTGGCTGAACGATTGCTGACAATATCCCATCCAGCGCCCTCGGCTCGGCACTCATTACCGTCGCCGGTCTCGCCGTAATCCTCCCCTGGGGCGAGAAGAAGTCCGACGCTCACGGCCACGGCCACGGCCACGAAGCCGCCCACGAGGAGAAGCACGAGGAGGCACCCGCCAAGGAAGAAGCCGAGGAGTCCAAGCCCGAGGAGAAGTCCGAAGAACCCAAGGAGGAGAAGACCGAGGACAAGCCCGAGGAGAAGAAGGACGAAAAGACCGACGAGCAGCCTAAGCAGGAATCCAAGTCCGAGGACAAGTCTGACGACAAGGCTGAGGAGTCCAAGGACGAAAAGAAGGATGAGTCCAAGGAGGACAACAAGTCTGAAGAGCCTAAGGATGAGGAGAAGGACGACGGAGATAAGAAGCAGGAGGAGAGCAAGTCTGAGGACAAGTCTGGGGAGAAGAAGGAGGAAAACTAGATGCCCCTCTTCCCTACTTGATATCCCACTGACGCCCCATTTTTGCGCCACCAGCACTCATGACTTACGAGGATCGGATTCGTGGGCATAGCTGGGTACGAATGGAACTTCACACGAGACCCAGTATCATGTACATACTCTTTTCGTTATTGTCCTAATCCATAATTTACTGGGTAGCTCTACAAACATTTCGTCAACTGTCACAAAATGGGGCATATTCTTGAATCAGTAATGTTTCTACTGTTTATTGTATGCTTGGAAAATGATGTTCAAACGCCGTATGCTGACTTTTAGTCAACATGCTTGTGGTATCAAAATATGAAAAGGACTGTTCCGGGCCATTGGTGTTGGCTTTCCAAAGCCAAAGGCCCCTTCATCATATGCATCACCTGCTCCATGCCGGTAACACTATTCTGTAACCTGATCCTCTTGTCATGAAAGACATAATGCTGTTGTTGTCCTGAGCGCCCCTTCATCTTTCATGCTTGCTTGTGCCCGGTTGACCGCAGCTCAATGGGGCTAGCAGAACGACCGCCTTTTGTGTTACCTAGCCACTTTGTCGCAACAGAGAGCACTGGTTTTTTCGACTGCCTTGATCCACCTGCCACCTGCTCTAAACTACCGCTGGTTTCTTCAATAGGGGGCGTGAAAGCCCGTGCTGCGGTCTCGTCTCTTGACTTGCGCGACATGCGGATCGTGTGATGTGATGGCCGGCCGGAGTGGTGGCTCTTTCTGGGCACACCTTCTGTGTTGGTGTGGCCGCCCTGGCCATCGCTCGAATCATGCTTGTGCCCGATGGCTTCCAAAATTGTTGCTTCATCCTCTGTTTCCACCCCACCTTTCCCTTTCCTACCATTCCTTTCAAGTCGCTGCATGAAGTCCACATCTTGTGGAAAGTAGACGCGTCGTATAGCATTGAAAAGCAGTTCAAACACAATAACTGCTGAGAGGATGATGAAGAGCACCGCCCAGAAGTTGAGCGTATTGCCGAAGTTGTCGAGAAATTCTCTGTGCACAAAGTAAATCCCAGACCGAGCTTTGTGGATAACGGACAGGAGGATACACCACAGAAACCAGCCGCCAACTGAGAGCAGAAAGCCAGCCAGAATTATCAGGGTCTTGTTCTCCATTTCAAGGATCCTTTACAAATCAGCATGAGTACACCCCTGGATATAGGATCAATACTTACAGCAGCTTGATGTTGATGAACACTACGCAGACGGTGAACGGCACAGTTCCCATGGCGTAGAGGCCGTTATTCAGATCGAAAGGCAACTTTTCGTACACGGCAAACATCACCCAGTAGATGATTGCCGATTCAATTAAGCCCATGATCGTCCATCCGATGTAAAGCCTGACGTTGAAGGCGCTGTTTCTATGGCCGTAGGTGTAAAGCTCAGGATACTCCAGAAGGGTCTTCGCTTGCAAATCCTTTTCTAAACCACCCAGAAGGATGACTGCGAGGGAAGTGAAAAGCGTATTAAACACTGCCAAGCTCGTAGGTTCATACAGAGAGGTTCCACTGTGTCCGTTGTAACGTTGATAGTAGGCTTGTGGGAGGAAAAACACTATCTCCTTCCAAAAGGTGGCCAGGATGTATTTGCCAGTTCGCAGATAGTTCCAACGACCGTGGACGAAAAGAAGGCGCTGCAAGAAACGGAATTGAGCGATGGCGTAGTCAGAGATGCGGGCGGCCTGCAGACCCTCGCGGCCAGAAATACCGATGCCGACATGGGAGGCTTGGATCATACCGATGTCGTTTGCGCCGTCTCCAATGGCCAAAGTCAGAGAATGCGGTACTTGTCGGCGAATACGCTTGACAAGGGTAGCTTTCTGAGATGGGGAGGCACGGCAACAAATGACGGAATCAACTCTAACCGCAAGGTCGAAAAAAAGGAAACTCAGGTCCTCATCGTCCTCGATGGTGCCCAAGGTCTGACCGTCGACAACCACGACCGTGTGAGGAAGCATACCTCTAGAGACCTCACCGAGAGTGGATAGGATGGAGTCCTGGAGATTGCCCATTGAAGCGTCCAGGATGAAGACTTCCGAGAAGGGCTTGCAGAGGCCGGCGGAGTGTCCGATGTTGATGGCGGTCTCCCGCTTGTCTCCAGTGAGCATCCAGACTTTGATCTCGGCTCGACGAAGCTTTTCTATGGTTTCGGGCACACCTTCTTGCAGGCGATCTTCGATGGCTGTTGCACCAGCGAGATCGAATTTGTCTTCAATCAGCTCACCAGCGGCTTCGATCTTCTCTTGCCTATTGTCTAGGCTAGTTGTAGCATCCTGGTAGAGCTTCTTCCACGAGATATAATCATCTTCTGGGATGTAGCGGTATCCGTAGAGCAGAGTTCGCAGACCATCCGATGCGAAGTCGTTCATATGTTGGAAACACCTCTCAAAGACTGCGCCCTCATTAAGCGCGACTGACTCATCAATGAAGTCATCAATCTCACTCTCGCTCATGGCCATGCTGGGCCGTGGAGAGGGCCAGATTTCCTGAGGACTCATTGGCGACAGGACGTCGTGTGAAACTCTTTGCGGAGACCACATTTCGGTGTCGTCAGTAACGGCGCTTCCTCGTCGGTGTAAATCTCCAGAATTTCTCATACTTTCACGCCTCATCGCTAAACTGCGACGGCCCGACACGGACGTTCGTGCAAGCATCATGCTGCTACGGGGCGTGCCGCCATTGCTCATGCGCTGGTGAGCCTTTTCCTTCTCAACACTCCTTCGGATCGAGGCTCTCCGCTGGACGGCATCCGCCTTTTGACTGGCAAGCCCGCTCAGCTTTAGACGAGGCAAGATGACGTTATCGGCGCCTTTGCAGAACACGCAGACTCTGCCATCTGGCATGCGGATGATGATTGACATTCTCTTTCGCTGACTGCTGAACTCAATCACGTCGAGAACCTGGTACGTCTCTTTGACAATCGACCCGTTGGCATCTGGCAATTGGAGATGGATCGATTGCGCCGGCCGATCAATGACGATGTACCCCAGGTCACGCGCAGCTTCTACAAGCGCGAGCTCATCTGGAGAAGCAGCTTGGTACTCGATTTCGCCGTTGTCCGAGGTCTCAGGGAGACAAGTGTGGCAGAGGGCGATGCAAAGAAGGAACTGCTTTGCCTTTTTCGAAAAAGCAGTGTCTGGCTTTCGTCGTAAGTATTCTAGCAGATCCTCAGTCTTGAGCTCAGGATCTGACTCTGGAGCCCTGCTGATAGATCTCCCGCGCGCAAATGAGCTGACGGAGGGCCGGCCTCTAGCTGACAAGGGCTGCGACGCGCCGTCGTCGGGTTGATCGGCGGTCTTCTTCCGGTCTTTACCCTTGCCTTTTCGCTTCTTGCGAGCCGACTCGATCAACTTTTGCTTGGCCTGCTCGTCTCTCTCGATGTCCATGTCGTGCAACCAGGCGGTGCCAGCGACACTCATTTTGCGGAAACGCATGATGTTTTCTGTCAAGGTACCGGTCTTGTCCGAGAAGACGTAATTTACTTGACCAAGATCCTCGAGAATCGTCGTCGTATTCGCAACCATTGGTGTGTTGGTAACGGGGTCGTACATCTCGACATCTCCCATCATGTAGAATTGTATGATCTTGATGATCTCCAAGCTGATGTAGAGCGATAGTGGAATCAGTGTGTTAAACATGAGAACATAGGCAATGAAGATCTTCCTAAGCGTCAACGTGTCTCCATGGAAATACCACGATTTCCTTTCGGTCTCTTCTTTCCAGAGGCTGTAGCCAAGAGTAAGACCGCTACTCAGGCAGAGAAGCACAAAAATGAGCCAAATCACGATTCTGTTCAGTACTCGCTGCATTGCTGGCGCCTTGGTTCGAACATGCTTGTGGGCGTTCATTCTGATTTTGCACTCTTCGCCGGAATTGATGACGATGCCAATCGCCTCGGTCGTGTTACGCACAGTCGATCCACGGTAGATGACGTTGTCCAGCGACAGAGGCAGCGTCTCCTCTTTGACGGTCACGCGACCATCATATCTGTAAAGGTCGAGGTTGGGGTCCTCGGAAACAATCATGGCCTCACATGACTTGATCCCTTCCACAGTTGAACAGCTCTCTGCAAGAAGTGGAGACGCTCTCTTCGCCTTGAGATTTGTCTCTCCGTCCAAAGCCATCGTTTCGATGTATGCCGTGCTGTTGGGCCCGGACGCGCTCAACAGTACAACGTCAGCAGGAACATCATCGTCTCGTCCGAGCTTGATAACATCGCCGACCTTGAGATCCTGCCATTCGGTTTCAGTCCAACCATTATCCGAGTTCTTTTTGAACGACGCCTCTGCATCCTCTGCCTTGCTGTGCCTCTTCATGCTGGCAGTTGCTTTCTTAGATCTTTCTCCCAGAACCAGCGTTCGACTCAAATTCTCAGTCTTTGCAAGCAGATATCGCCGGTAGTCGTCATAGCCCTCTTTCGCCATCGACAGGGAAACAAAGGCGAGAAGGGGCCCTATCGTTGTCCATTGTCCAGTGGTGCTCAAGCCGGGGATTGCTTGAATAATACCGACGACGAGGAAGTAGAAGTTGCCCATCTTACTAAACTGTGAAAAAAGCTGTTTCGGCAAGAAGCTCAATATCGTGTAGCGACTGGATCGAATGAAGTTGCTGATGTACGGTTTCCTAGTACGCTCATCGATGAGAGCCTCGTCTCGTTTTTTCGCCGTGTTCAGAGGAATATGCCTGCCATCTGCGCTCGGTGGAAGCGGCTTCTGTCGCAACAAGCCCTGCACGACATACACATTGTACGCCTTCTTCAGCTGCTCAGGTAGCGTCTCCTTCGCAACAAGCCATTTTGCGCGCTTCCCTGGCTCTGGTCGATGAATGGGATACTTGAGCTCTTCTGAATGTTGCACAGAGCTCTGGTCACTGCTCAGGTGGGCGCGCGACGTCGACGGCTCTGGCAAGATGTGGCTTTCCAAGTCCCCCCTTGACGGGATGGTGTAAAGACCATGATGACTGCTTGGATCGGGATGCGAGCCCGCCGGGTCGAAGCTACGCATGGATTCACGCGGCACATCATCCGAGAAGCGGACGTGGCCGCCGTCGAGGGTGCCCTTACTGCCCATGGGATCGGTGATGGCTCGTCTCGGCTGTATTCTCTGAGCAGCGCGAGTTGGCGCGGGACTCGCTGAGGGCGCCGGAATGTCATCAGCAGTGTCGAAGGTTGCTGCAGACGTTGCGGACGGCAGAGGAGGACTCGGGGCGGGGTCGTCGGGGTCTTCATGCTGGGGAGCAGCAGAGGAAGAGGCGTCACCCGGGGCCCGGCTATCCATTCTTGAAGGGGTGAGGCTTGGTCGGTTTCTGTCTAGGCTGTGTTGGCCAGTCCAGGCCCAGATGTCTCCCCCAAAACCGCAGACGCTGCAGATGGAAAGTGCCTGGCGCAGACGGGGTTAGTCGCAGAGAGGCTAGCAAGAACAGCTAGCTTGACGACTAGACAGACGGCAGAATGACGCTTGTTCCAGACGGTTCCCCTTGCTGGCGGGCCGGATTCACCACAGTGGCTCGCGCGTGGTAGTCTTCATTGGTCTCGACCCAGGATTGTGGCGCGTTCCTTGCTAAATCTGGCGTGGCTTCGAACTGCGACGCGAGGGAACGCCAATGTCGTGGTCAGTGCAAGCAGCCGGGGATACGGATACAGATTGAAATGCTGGGTTCGCAGGGCTGAAACCGTCGCAGTGGGCGTCGAAGAGATGTCAGATCAGCGATTTCGACGTCACGGGTGCTGGCGGAACGAATTCAAGTTTTTCGGTCCAGCGATTAGTCGACGCCAGGGTTAACGATACAAGGCGAATAGTGATGATGGAACACCCGCAGTATTGCTGGAATGGATACGTGAAAAACAAGTGCGAAAAGGAGATGAGAAAGGGAGAAGTCAAGAGAAAATTGGTCACAAGAAGTCGGGCGGCGTTGGATTCCCAAAAAGGACGGACGTCGAAGGAAGCGCCGGGCGGGAAAGAAGAGCCACTCCGCCAACCCGACAGAGCCTTGCGTCGATCTGATCTGGGCGGAAAGATGGCAGCAGAGAGTGAGATAGGCGAGTAGGTACAGACAAGACACACGACAGCCATAAGACAGGCGAAACACACAAGTTGTTTCCTAAGAAGCGCAAAGAAGGTTGCCGCGTACAGCAGCTGCGCCGCCAGCAACGCGCAACAGCAGGAGCGGCGTTCGCTCTTGGAGTCGTCTTGGCGAAAAGTCACGACGGGGGCCAGTAAGTGGCCGTGGAGACTATTCGTGGATGGCGTCGGCATCGACCTGGAGGGCCCCCCCCCCAATCATGAGGTCAGGGAGAGAGCGTGTCTCTGGCGCGTCTTGGCACGTTTCTGCACTGCCACTGCCACCATTGCCCGACGGGAATACCAAGACATTGATTGCACTGCTGATGCTGATGGATGGACGAAGGAGGAGGATCTCTTCGATGATGGATTGGTTGGTTGGTCTGAAGTCCGACGGAAGGAAGGAGCCTTGGAAGCAAGCAGGAGAGAGAGACACCGGGGAAAGACCCAACAGGAAGGGGGGAGCCTTGCCTTTTTTCGAGCTGGTGGCAGCACACTTTCTTCGGTCTGCCCCCGCAAAGCCAGAGGGCCCGACGTCATTGGTGAAGGAAGAGGGCAAGTGCCAACTGCAAACTGCCTGCAAAAAGAGAACAAGACGCCCGAAAAAAAACGCAGGTGCCACGACGCGGTACTTGAACGCCCGCGGCACCCGTCCACTGTCCCAGCTGTCAATGGCATTGTACCCTTGGACTCGCCCTGAAGAAAGAACAGCATCGAACCCGCCAACATCACCCACTCATTCAATAGACGCACATTGTCTTGGCTCAGCACACTTTCTTGGGTCACGTTTCGACCCGCCATTGAAACGCCAGCAAACACGGCATCTTGTCTCTTTTAGCATTGACTCCATCGAGGTCGCAGGAAGACTTATCTCGAGGATGCAGACCGCCTCATTGGAAAAGGCGCCAAACCGTCCTGCATCCCGCCAGCTAGAAGACGACAGCCCATCTGTGGGCGCGTGCTCTAAGTATCTAATCAATTATTATGGGCGCACTCTCCATGGGACGAACGTGGCCAGCCTCCATTGACGCAGGGCATTCCCTACCACATGCAAAAAGATGGGATGGGCCAAACTCTAATACCAAAAAGAAAGACGGCGAGGGAAACTTCGCCCGCGCCCACCAAGTGGACGGGATCCATCCGCATTGCACATTGCACACATCCGCGTTCCGTCTCATTTCCAGGTCATCTTCTTCAGGCGGGTACGGAGTGCGTTTTCTCTTTTAAAACACACGCACTCTGTACGGCATGCAAGGAAAAGGCACAAGACACGACTCACAACTCCCGTACGTTCCGGTTCCCAAGTGTGGGCACGGCACGGAGAATTGGCCTATCTGCCGTCCTCACCGCACAATACCGTCTGCAGTTCCGCACCTCGGACTTTGATCCCACCCCCAGAATATGCCCAGTAACATACGAACACCCCTGGCCCGTCTGCTCTTCTCTCGCCTCATGTGCGCTGACTGCTGCTCTCGGGCAGCTTCCACCGCCCACTACGCACAGGTGGCGGGCGGCCTATTCGCCCTACTAGTATATATATAGCTACGTAGTACTAGTCTAATATCGAAATACTTTCTATACCACGTTATTAGTGCTATTAAATATTATATCTACTCATACGTGTGCCGTCCACACACCCACATCCTACCTCCATATTACCTAAAGGCTTAGGTTACCTTGCTCTGTATCCGTAGCGCGTTCCCCTCAGAGGCGCTGCACTAGAACACTTAAGTTCATCTTGGCCCTACGCCTAGAAACCCAGTCATCATCGGCCCCCAACAAACCCCATGGAATAAAATACACAAACACACCGTTCCTGTGATCGAGTAAGGTCGAAAGAGAGCGCCCTCAGACCTCGTGTTAGTGGGCCACCACCCATCGCCACCTCGCGCCCCCTTCCCCCGTTTCCCCGGCTCGGCCCCCGCGGCTTTGACACCGTCTCGAGCTTGTCCAACGCCACACACTTTTAGGACGTCGACTTCGACATCGAGAACTTCATGCTAGACACAGGCACACATGGAGGGGGCCGTAGGACGGCACGACAGTAGATGCTTTTTTACCCTTTTCAGCGCTTGCTTAATGCAACGCCGACAGCAAGTGGGATTTGATTTCCCCGAGCCATGGATTCCTCCTACGGATACAATAGGCATCTTCATTCATTCAACCTAACCTTACCTGCGTAGGTCTGTGGGGGATGACTTGATACTACCATATCCTAACTTAGGCAGACGTATTCCGACACGGTAACTCAAGCAAAGCCGGCGGTACTGCCCAAGGTGAAAGGCCAATAAATGCATCAGCAACACAGAGTGATTCAGTAGCTACCTTAGCTTGCACGCAGGTGGCATTGCCCATCAGCACTTGCGCGGCTGCGCCCCGTCCCTCGTGTCTCTCGTGTAACATGTAACGTCCACCATCACCACCTCAGCAGTCATCAGCAGTTATCCGTACTTCCTTATCCAAGCTCAGCCTCGTTACAAAAACGAGGAGTGCATAGCATTCACATCTCCAGATATTCAGTGATCCCGCACGTAAACCTACCCGGCCCCCATGCATGTTCCACGTGGCTCTCACCAAAAAAGCTATCTAAAAACAGAAAGTCTCATATCCGTCTGCCATCACTCACCCGCCGCTACAAAATCCAAGAAACCAACAAGTCTGGTTCTGTACCCGTACTCGTAGTCCAGCCTGGTCTAGCCTAGCCTACCTAGCCCCGTCCACTGCCAAAAAGTGCCCACAGCAAGACCCCAGAAGTGGCAGAGCCTCGCCTCGCCTCGCCCACCGGCTCACGATCCGACTCTGCAATCTCGCATCACGACACCGTTTCGCCCAAAAAGCAAAGCAGTACCCATCCGATACATAATCCCTCCCAGCAGATCCCCCAGAGCAGCCAGCAGAGGAAACGACGCTTCGGTAGGCGCCGGTAACATCATTTTCCAGAAAACATCGGGATCGTCTTCTCACCATGCACGTTACATCGGTTCAGCCTCCACACCCATGACGATGAGGCCGCGCAGGCAAGCAACCTGGCCGCCGGCCGTGGAGACGTCAAAATCACTAGTTTTGCAAATCACCCAACTTTACAGATGCACTGTCACAGTCTAGACCGAATGGGAACTTGCAAGTCTTGTAATAGTGGGAAAACAGGGATTTGACGCCCTCTCTCTTTGTCTCTCTCAACTCTCGACTATCTATCGTCATTTACTTCCAAGGCCGAACCGCCTCTTTCGAGCAACGGCCGGCCCCAGCCTCTCGCTGCCGAGGTCATACAGCGCGGCGCGGTTTGTTTCCCATTAAACCGCTCCCAAACGCTGTACCCCGGCATCCAACGCACAAAAGCCACCAAGATTTACCCTGCTCCCCCACGATTCCCGTCAAACCAATAAAAAGTACCCACAAGAGGAGGTAGACCAAAAAAGTTGTTGTGTGTCGGAGTTGTGTATATCTTTGCGCAAGAAAATTTCGGTTTGTGACTGATTAAGAACCAGGAAAAATCCCAAGCCACCTGGGCTTTTCCCCCATTTTCATCTCCAGACCTGCGGCCAAGACATCTTTGACTCATGAACGATGACAGAAGAAATCGAAGTAAAAATAACAAAATGTGCAGCGCAAGCCAACCAAAGATTTGAAGGGGAAAGGATTATTAGGTGCCATATCGTCGGGTCTCTGCGCGGACCGATACGGCGAAGCACGGTTGTGATGACAAGGTAGGAAAATCGGAAGATTACCCCCTTCGCAACAAAAAATGAGTTTGTTCGCGACAATAAATGACTCGAAAAATGGTAGAAGTAGATTTTCAAGAAAGTGCAAGTGTACGATCGCTTGTGCCGGACACGCATGATCGAGATACGAATAGAGGTATCGTCATGCAGATTCGTCGTGGCCGATGGATGAAAGTAGAGCGAGAACTGAATCAAGCATCGTAGTCATCGGTGTGTCGAAAGTAGACCAAGCGCAACCCATCTGGTATATATCGAGCGCCTCAACGCCAGCTGTGAATAATCAAAGCAAAGCAACTCCGCTCTCCTCCCAAAGGTTTTCGAAGCACGCCGGAGCCTGTATTATGTACGCCATGTCCTGTCCGGAATAATCCCAAACGCCAGTTGACTTCAGGCACTGCAGGCCTGAGTCAAAGGCGCTCATTGATGAGGCACATGGGACATGGACTCGGGTGACAATGAGCTGGGGTCAACGTTATCGAATTGCACCAGCTGGTT